CCACTACAAGATCTCAGCAGCCACACGTGGCCCTGTGGGTGAGCACAGCACGTCCAGCCTCGGCAGAATTTCCACTGGACATGCATGGCCAGCCCACATGGCCACGGCAGGTGAGCCACACATCCTTGTTGGGGAATGAACGAGGGTGGGAGGTGGGCCTCCGGACTCTCTGGCCACTGTTTATCCATCCTCACACGGAAAATGCCATCGTGTCATCTGCGGCCTTCCTGAGAACCACTAGGAGGAAGGCCTTCCATGTGTCTCCCATGCTTGGCATCCGAGGCGGGCTGGGTCTGTCTTTACTGCCCCACTGAGGGGGCTCTGGAAGGTGCAGGACTGGAGAGCAACCAGACTGCAGGACACTGCCCAGCTCTGCCCCCTGCTGTGTGTCCTTGGGCAAATCAGCTCCCCCTCTGAACCCTATCCCTGCTCAGCAAAGTGGGGACAACAGGATGCCTGCCTCTTAGGGGTGCTTTGAAGATTAGGAGATAATCCCCAGCGAAGCTTCTGGAATAGCCGTGGATGCTGGTGATGTGGTTAAGTGAACAGAGTGCTCTATCGTCCAGGGTCTGGGGGCCCCTGGGACCGGCCACCCACACTTAGCCCTTCTCCTGAGAGGAGAGCCCATGCTCTGTCCCGGTAGGGCCAGCTGCCATGAGGAGGCGATTAGGGGTGGTTAGGTGATTAGCAGCGTCAGCCCCACACCCTCTCCCCCGCCCTCACTGCTTGAAGCATCACTCACAGGGCCACCTTGGGGATAGGCCTGCCTCACCCCCAGTCAGACCCAGTCACGAGTCCCTGGCTGCCTGATGCTCCTGCTCAACCTCTGTGATCCCCCACCCCCACCCCTGCTCAGCGCTAATGGAGGGCCCTTAGCTGGGCACTTCCTAGGAGTGTGGTCCCCCTGTCCCGCCCCTGCTCCTTCCTAGCCCTGCTCTTGCTCCATGTCCCTCTGCGGCACTGCTGGGGTATGCGGCCATGCCTTCCCTGCCCGGGCCGTTCCATGGGAGACACGCTGGATCCCCAGGTGATCCACAGAGAACATCCTCACCACACCCGGGGCCCAAGACTGGACCCTGCGCTCCGAGTCCTGGCCTGGGATGTCGTGGGGGATGGGCACAGGGGAGCCTACTCTGAGGGGCACAGACGCCCCCACGTCCCTGGCTGGGCCAGGCCTGCAAGGTGCAGGGGACATGGCTTTCTACAGGCAGGGTCCTCCTGCTGCCCATGCCCTGGTCAGGACTCCGGGGACAGTGATGCTGATTGCCCCTCCCCCTCCCGTGTGTATCCTGTACCTGACCTTTGGGGAAGTGGGTCCACCCCATTAATGCCGTCTGCTCTCCTGGTCCTCGGGGACCCAAGGATGCGAGGAGACCTGCCCGGCCCACACATGGCAGGGGACCTTTGCGTCCGGCCCTGAGAGGATGGTGCCTGCAGGCTGTGCCCAGCACACAGCCAGCTCACTGTGCCCAGGGTGGGGGTGCCCGCATGTAATGGTGCGTGGACGGATCTGGGGTGCCCTGCTCACACGCACCCTTGGCTGCAGCCTGGGATGCAGTGTGGAAGCATATCGCCTGCTTGCCGTCCAAGGTGACCTGTCGTCTCATGGGGTTGGCCTACGAGCCTCTGGAAACCCGGCAGCTCCCTTACCACCTGATGTGGGCCCCAACTCTGGGCAACAGGGCCAAGTGGAGGGGGCACAGGTGGGCACAGCCCCCCGGAGCCCAGGATGGGAGGAGGTGGCAGGTCTGCTGCCTGCCTGTGCCCTGGGGCCGCTGGGGTCTCCCCAGGGCACCCCTTGGGGCGGTGGTTGCCCGCTGTGGCCAGGCGCCTCTGCACTGGGCTGGGCTAAAAATAGCAGGGGGGATGGCAGGGCAGGGACCTCCAGTGGGAGGCCCATGGGGAGGGGCCGGTAGGGGCGGCGGCCGGCCGGCAGCCTGGGCCCCGGGACCGGCAGTCAATGGCGCTGGCGCTCCCACCCTGTTCCCGGTGGCCGGCCAGCCGCGGCCCAGCTGACAGGCTATTTTTTCCCCTGCTTGACTAAATATGGTCAGAGAGCACAGCCCGAGGGGCCACTTGGCCGGGGCGCGTGTTTGGGATGCTTGGCTGGGTATATAAGGACTGCAAAGGTGAGGCCGGCTCCTGATCCGAGGGGGGGGCCCACGCCCGCTCTGGCCCCTCGGGTCAGCCCTCCCCTCCCCTCCCCTCCCCCTGCCTGTGTGGGTCTCGCGTGCGGCCGGCTTTGCCTGCGTGAGCCTGCACACCCGCCAGACCGTCCCCTTTTGTTCACCTGACCTCTACCTTGCGCTGACCCCGGCCGGGGTGCGGAAGCGTCCTGCAGACACAGCCCAGGCAGGGAGGCTCAAGGTGTGCGGGCTGAGAGGTCGCTCCCTAACTCCGCAGAGCCTGCCACCCTGCGCCTCCCTTCTCTCTCCCTCTCTCTCTCTCAAGATCTCCCTCCCTGCTAAGTCTTCGCTGCTGCAGGAGGGCTGGGGGAAGGGCAAGGGTGCGGAGAAGGGGTGCCTGGTGTCTTCTTTCTCTCCGCTCCCCCCACCCCCGCCCCCCAAGTGCGGACGAGTCGGGAGCCGGGCCTCCCCCACCCCTGCGCTCGCGATTGGCTCGGGGAGAAGGATGGGCTGCCGCGGCTGCAGCACCATCTCTCTGGGAGCCGCACGGGGCGCACCGTACCCGGGAGCCGCGACCCTGCGCCCACGGCCGCCGTCGCCAGCCCGGCCCGAGGGGCTCCGCGGTGAGTCCCACTCAGCCCGCCCGGCCCCCCGCAAACTTGCCGGCGGCCGTGGTGGGGGTGTGCCCGCGGCGAGGGGAAGCCATGGTGCCGGCGCCGCGTGGCTCCAGCTGGGGGTGCTTCGGAGTTTTCTCTTGGCTCGTGGCATCGTCCGCATTTGGAAAACTGCAGAGCCAGCAGACAGCAGGGCCGGGAGGGCGCGTCCAACCGCGATGCGAGAACTTTGACATGCGGGCGTTTTGCAAGGAAGCGGTGCCTGCAGTCACTGCCGGGGTGCACGAGGGTCGAGGTGCTGCGGTGGGGGCCGCGGGGTCTGAGGGGAAGGCGTGACTGACCGCAACAAAGCGTGGCTCGGGTGGGGATGTGGCAAAACTTCCCTCGGAACTTGCGGCCGTGGAGATGCTGGGGGCAGGGGTCCCGGAGCCGGGCCTGTGGTGAGGCTGCCCCAGGAGGGGACGCGGGACTTTGGCGGCTCTCATAGCCAGGGTCAGGGTAGGGAGGGTCCCTGTGCTGGGCGTGTACAGCAGGGGCACACGTGGGTGGAGACGGGGCTGGAAGGGAGCAGCCGGTGGTCTCTGCCAGAGAGAGCGACCTCCACCTGGCTGGGGGCTGGGAGCATTCACAGCTGAAGGGCTGGACTTGGCACAGGGCCGGGCCAGCACACTACCCTCCGTGGTCCCCTTGGAGGTGGCTGGTGGTCCTTTTCTGTTGAGACGGGAAACTTCTTGAAAAGTGGCTGTGGTTCATTTTTGAATGGATAGAAACTCGCCAGGGCTCTGGCTGGACCTCGGGTGACCCTCCCGCCCCTTGAGGCCCCCAGCTTTCCCCTGACCTCCAGACACCATCCATATGAACGCCTGGGAATGGGGGTCGGAGGGGCAATCCTAGACCTGAGCCTTGGCCACACCTCCCAGTCTCTGAGGCCTCATTTGTCAGAGGGTAGCCTAGAAACTTGGACTTCAGACACCAGGTATCCTTTGAGCTTCTCTCAAGGGCGCCCTCCACCCCCGGGGGGCTTGGGGAGAAGTGGGAGCTGGGGCAGCGGTCTCGGTTGTCCTTTTCCATCCTTGGTTCCCTGAGGATGACAAATGGCAAGAGCGCACAGAAGTGGGACATTGTTCCTCTGTGTCTTTCTGCTGGGTAGTGCTCTGCTTTTAGTGGGGTGCCCCTTGGAGCCCTGATCACACCCCCACCCGCATGAACTCCAGCTCTGCTGTGCCCAGAGCGGCTGCCAAGCTCAGGGACTTGAGAAATCACTCAGATTCTTCTGCACCATGCAGGCTCTGCAGACACAGCCCTGCCCCGGGTGGCAGCAGCGCTGGAACCCTCTCTGCACCCATCCACATGGGAATGGCCAGGTTGCCCCATGGGGAAGGGCGGGCAGGGTAACCCTGGACCTTGTCTTGCTAATGAAAGGAGAATTAGAAGTCCACTCAGGCCCAGGGCCTTGTCCTCAGGCCGGGATCAGTTCCTAGCCACACAGGACCTGGGCCCAACAGGCAGACTCTGTGTATCTGCACCTGGCCTGTCTCCCCACCCCAAGGGAGTGTCCAGCAGTCAGTGACACCCTCCTTCCAAGTTCTACTTTTTACCCATGGCCTTACCTGGCCACAGCAGGGCCCTGTCCCCTGCTGCTCCTCTGTCCTTCCAGGGCCGGCTTGGGCTGGGGTGGCTCCGCTTCCTGCATGGGGACTGGCCCCAAGGTCCCATTACTCTGCTTCAGACCCCTGTGGTTTTCTGACTCCTGGCTTCGTGGTGGCCATGGAAGGTGGTGGGGAGAAGGGGCCTCTGCTTTCCATCACAGAGAAATTTTGAAATGCTGTGGAAAACAATATCGATACAATTAAGTATTCCAAAGTGCTTAGTTGGCCGCTTGCTAAGTTTACTTAAACCCTGTTTAACGGGTTCATTAGAAGCGGTGAGCACCAGGGAAATTCATTAACAGGAAGGCGGCCCCTGCGTTTGACTGTAAATTGGTATTGATCAGGCCTAGCGGAGGCTGGGCGCAGGCCACAAAGAGCCAGGTGAGGGCCTGCCACCCTGGGCGCCCGTGGGAGCCACCTGCCGCCAGCACACGCAACGGTTTAGGTGGTGATGCGCCAGGAGTTGGGGGGAGGGGAGAGGATGGGTGAAGAAGACAGCGAGGGATGAGGGAGGGTGTCGGCGGAGGCGGCGGTCAGTGCAGGGAGGCCAAGCCGGCACCAGCCCCTCACTGGGCTGGGCGTCTGCTCTGTGGCCAGACCAAGGCGCCGAGGGAGCTGGCCACGGCCCGGGCCCCATCCTAGCAGCTTCCAGCCACCCTCTGGGGACGCGAGGTCCACCTGCAACTGCCTTTCTCATGCATGTCTTCAGAAACGGGGCCCGAGCCCTGACCTCGGGCACTGGCTCTTGGGAGGCCGAATCACCAGGGACCCATCCAGGAAGCTGCCCAGCTGCTGCCCAGGTAAGGCCTGCCTGTTTCTTGGTTGTCTGTGGCCAGGGGTGCCGGCTCTATGCTGGCTCTGACTACCCTGCTCCCTGGCCGCCCGTGGTGGGGTCTTCCCGAGCACTGTCCCTTCATGCAGTTCCCCCGCCACGTGCACTTGGCCAGGATGGTGGTGCTTAGGTGGCGGGGAGGTTCCGGCAGGAGCAGGGAATGGCTCATCCTTCCTGGGTCAAGGGTGAGAGGTGGCATCCTGGGTCCTTTCTTGTGTCACTGATGCAAAACTAAACAGAAATGTGGTGATCGAGGGAGTCCTGAGACTTTAGAGATACATTGTCTACGTCTGCCCTTCCTGACTGTGTGTGTGTGTGTGAGAGAGAGAGTGTGAGAGAGACAGCGGGGGAGAGAGGGGAGGGCCGGGTCAGGAGGGCCGCGGGGATGCAGGGCGGGGTGTGCTGGCTCCAGGGTCCGGGGCAGCTTCTCGGGGGGCCCTTCCTGCGCCCACAGCCATGCCCGCTGGACTACCTGCTTGGGAAACATACTTCTTTATGTGCCCATATGGACCTGCTAAGCTATGGAATGTAAAGAAGTATGTATTTCAGGTCGGGAACTCTCTCGCTGGAGGAAGGGGGCGGCGCGCCCACGGGGCCGCCCAGGGGACAGACAGACGGGCAGCTGTGGCCGGCCGGGCCTCTGTGGCAGGCTGCCTGGGCGTCAGTGGCCGGCCTGTCCCCGGCCGGTATTGTTCTGTCACTTTGCCTGTGTCAGCAGGTGGAAGCGTTCACCAGACATTAAATATTCAACGTGCTGACTGCGGCAGAGGGGAGGCGGCCTGTGGCAGGCATGGGGTCCACTGGGGGGCATGTAGGGGCTGGGGGTGCGGGGGCGCCAGTAGCTCTGGGGCGTCACTTGTTGCCACCCTGGAAGGGGCCTTTGCCAGCAGAAGGGACTGTTTGTGAGATGCAGGCAGGAAACTGCTCAGAGGAGAAGCAGAGTAACCTGTTCCAGGAAGGATGGGCCAGCTGCCTAGGAGGGAAGGGGTTGGGTGACCACGTGCGAGGGGCTTTTTCAGGGAGAGACACTCGGTCTTTGCTGTCAGGCCGTCTGCGAGGCAATGGTGAGAGCACCATGTGGCTCAGCCTCCCCAGCTCCAGGCCACACTCCCTCCTCTGAGACACCCTGGCCCAGCATTTCTGGGGCACCTGTGATGCATAAGACAGGAGACCAGGGTCTGAACCAGGCAACTCGAGCCCCTCCTGGGGCCTAGGTCCCACTCTGACCCCCAGACCCCACGCTGCTCTCTGATTTTCAGCACCTCTGGCTGAAAGCGCTTTGCTATTTGAAGGACGGTAGGGTCATGCTGGCCAGTGTGGTGCAGGCCAGGACCCAACCCACCTGTCCTGCACCAGCCAGGTCCCAGGCAGGACAGGGGCTGGGGTGATGTCCTCTGGGTCGCATGGCTGGACTGTGAGCGCCCAGGCACTGGGGCCATGCTGTGTCCAGTTCTGAAGGCTGTCTCTGCAGCACAGAACGTTCTCTGGCGAGGCAAAGGGCAGCAGGCTCTAGGGGCAGGTGGTGGGGCCGGGCCGCTGTGGGAGGAGGGGTGTCCCTGTCAGTATCTGGCTCTTGGAGTGGTGGCGTCTGCAGCCTGCCCAGGGCACGTCCTCCACGGCCTCGGGGCTATTTTTCCAAAGCGTGCGTCACCTCTGTCTTTCCTGCCCTCCCTGGCACTGCTGCCCAGGCCAACGGCAGGTGCCCCAGCCCCTCCTGCATCCTGACCTTTGGCAGGAGTTTAGCCCTTGGATGGGGGTTGGGGTGGGGAGGAGGAGTGAGCTGACCTCCTTCTCCAGCTGCTGTAAAGGTCTAGGGGCAGCCAGGTTCTGTGAGCCGCTCAGGCTCCTCAAGGAGCTGGGGACAAGGAGGTATGGGCAGTTCCAAGCTCACCTGTGGCCACTACTTCCTGGGGAGCTGACTGTATTTGAGGGTCCAGGGTCCCTTCCCAGTTTTCAAGTATCCTCATTTCTGACTCTGCTGGCATCCACCGTGGGAGGTGGGACTGTCCTTGGGCACTGCCTTCCTTCTGGCCGCCGGGGCCAAAAGGAAGATGACCTTGCCAGAAGGGGTCAGTGCCCCGAAACCTGGGAAGGTCATCTCTGCCTGCGGCTTCCAGCTCCGGCCGCAGGGAGGGAAGCAGTCGGGTGCAGCCCCCGAGGCTGGCCGCAGACACGCGCTCTCTTCCCCTCCATGCGTCCCGCTGCACATTAAGCCTTTATTGCAGGATGTGGTGTTTAAATAAAAGCATTAGTGTTTTGGAATTAGGTTTGACTGAGCAGTAAAACTAGAGAGTTTGCAGGCAGAGAGAGCCTTGGCCTTCTCAGCTGTAAATCATGGCGGGTCTCTTACCTGCCGAATTAGAAAGGGGCACCAGAGGGCTCTCCTGGCGAGAGCCCCTTGCCCAGTCCTGCTGCCCCCAGCCATGCTGATGAGGCTGTATTTTCTGTATAAGCTCCATCTCTTGGTTTTCCAGGGGAGGAGCTGGGGACGGGCCCTCAAGCGAGGCTGGCGTTCCTCCGGGTGGAGTCTTTGGGCCTTTCTCTGCGAAGGATGGGGGAGACCTGTGGGAGCAGTGCCTGTGATCTGCCCAGAGGTTCTTTTGCTGGACAGTGCCCCCCAACCCTGACACTCTGCCACAGGGGCTCTGGGGCTCCAGTGAGGGTAGAGGAGCCTGGAGTGAGCCAAGAGGGTGAGAGCAGGACAGCTCATACTCAGGGGCTCACCCACCAACCTGGGGTTACTGACGGCCTTGCGTGGCTGAAGGGAGAGGTCCAGGTTGGGTGGGGGTGGCAAATGCCCCTTTCCCAGAGCTCAGAGAGGGCAGGTCCCCGGGGAGGCATCTGAGAATGCAGAATCTGGCCCACAGCAGTCCAATGGTAGTCCAGATTCTGCTAGTGGAAACAGTAGGTCCAAGGATTGTAGGGCTCATCGACTCATGAGGAAATTAGTTGAAATTTTCTATGCTACGGCTCACTAACTCTAGCCATGCTCCAGCTGAAGCTTCCGCACTGGACAGAGAGCAGCTCTGAATCAGGGTCAGGTTCTGCATGGGTGTGCTCAGGTGCGCTCAGGTGTGCTCAGGTGTGCTGTGCATGGAGGGCAAGTTGTCTTTCCTTTCTGGAGCCAGGGGCCACATACCTTGAGGCACGGTTTCCAAAGAGGGGCCGTGTGGCTCTGTTCATCAAAGGCAAGAAACTAGATTGCACAAGGCTTTCAAAGAGGGGCTGGGGTGGCCATGGTGAAAGCCTCTGTCAGCAGGTATCAGAGATCTCTCTTAAAACTGACAGTTCCACATGAAAAATGTCGCCTGAAGAACAAATTGCTCATGAGGTGATGAGACTGACCTGCAGGACAGACACTTGAGCTGCCACAGCCCTGGGTCCATGAAAGTGAACACTGCTTGAATTGCAACCCCCACCCTTAAATGTCCCAAATAAGAAATGAGGGAATCTGAGTAATCTGGGGATGAGGGCCAGGTGGGGAAGATGGCCCTGGAGGCCTTTGCTGGCAGGGGAGGTGGGGCCAGCGGGTCAGTAGGTGTGGCCAGAGGTGGGGCCAGGCCGTTGCATTAATTGCTGCCACCTTAGCATAAAGGGTGACCATGGTCCTGTCTGAGCGGTGCTGACTCAGCCCAGCTCTGCTGGCTGCACGTCCAACTGCAGAGGGCCTCTAGCCTCACTGCAGCTCTGTTCCCTGCCTCTGATGCCCACTGCTCCTTAGGGTCACCAGGCTTGGAGCCCCTGGGGCTTTCTGAGGGGCCTTGGCCTTGCCCACTGTCCTCGGCCCGTCAGCAGCTGGCTTGGGGATGAGAAGAGACAGATATGAATCACGGGAAAGGAAGGGCCTCCGCACAGCCTCAGAAACTGGTGCTGTTCGCTCCGGCCCACATCCAGCTCCGGCCTCTCTCAGCTGGCCCCACAAGGCCTGGTCCCAGGTGTTCACAGCTGGAGTTTCTCCGGGCTGTGTTCCTGGCTCCCCTTTTAGTGCCCAAGTACCAAGTCTCCCTGACCAGGGAGGCCCGGCCCGCCGGCAGTGAGGGCTTGGTGGGGGGAGCAGCGCAGCCGCTGCAGAGCTGCTCCCCAGGGCGCTGCAGTGCGGAGGCGCGGCTGTGGGCTGCATGCAGGGCCGCGCGTCTCAAGGGCAGGGACAAGAGGGCCACCACTGCAGCTACCGCTGCTCCCTAGGTGGAGAGATGCAGGCAGCGGGTCTGGCAAGGGCACCAGCTCCCTGGGCTGACCCACCTGGGTCTTCGGGAGCCCCGCTAAGTCTCAGGCCCGCTCTGCTTCCTGGGCTAAGCAGGTGGTCCAACCAGGTGCCGGTGGGGGCCAGAGAGGCTGGGCTCAGAGGCACCCCCAGGCTCCCGTATCCAGCACAGGCAGAGAACAAAGGCGAGAAGGCCACTGTACAAAAGTTGCCGGAGGGTCGCTGGCTTCTTCCCTTCCAGGGGTTACACCAAAGGACCTGGTGGTTGAGAGTCTGGGGACTCCCAGGGGGTCAAGCCTCTAGTGTGGGGAGGGAGCCAGTGAGGATGGCCAGGGCCAGAGGCAGGTGTGAGCATGAGCCAGTGCAGGAGGACATGTGGGATGGAGGGGGAGTGACCCAGGTATTTTTAACAGCGGGGCGGTGAGAGGGCAGCTGTCCCCAGAACCTGTCACGGGTGCCCGTGGGGACTTGGGAGGCTGAAGGACACCCAGGACAGACACGCAGCTCTGGGCCCGTCCCCCTGGCAGGCCTGCACACCGCGGGTCATGCCCACATATGGCGACCAGGCTGCGTGTCCCCCCGTCGCCTGTCCACCGTGGCCGGTATAAATAGTTAGTCCACATTCTCAGCTGTCCTGTTGGAGAGGCTGAACTTGGATGAACCCGGGGTGGCCCCCTCGCACCCCGCCCGCCAGCAGAGTGCCCGGGACCGCAGCTGCAGTGGCGACGACAGGCCAGGCGGTGAGGCTCTGAGCTCTGCCCCCACCCGTGTTTTGTTCCCTGCTCCCTGCCGGCCCCCTTGGTGGGCGTCAAATCCAGCGGCACCTGGAGACCTCTGCCAGCCACATCCAAGGGCTAAAGAGGGCCAGGACCCCAGCCTGGGCTGGAGCTTTGGTCTGGGGTGAGGGGAGATGAGAGGCTGGGGGTCTTGTCCTACAGCAGGCAGAGGCTAGTGCTGGGGTGCCCCAAGGCCACACGCCCTGTGGCCTTTTCCTCATCGTCTCCTGCCATTCCCTCCTGTGCTGGATGTGGCAACATGCCCTAGAGGACTCACAGCCAGCAGCCTGTCACTCCCCTTCCCCAGGGACCTTGCCTCCCTCTATTCTAACCAAGAAGTGAATCTCTAACATTGGAATTTCACCCCTGCTACCAAGGCCGGTGGAGCAGATGACCTGGGGTGAAGGCACAGGGCCTGTTGAGTCCCCCTCAAAGCTTAGGTGCCAGTCCTGTGGCCTGGAGTGCACTTCTGTGTCTCCCGATCCTGAAGGCCTGGCCAAGCTGGAAGGAGGATGATACACACAGGCTTTGGCGTGGGCGGTGTCCCCGGCCTGTGGGTGGCCACAGTGGCCCTCCCACTAGTCTATCTGGGGATAATGAGGCCAGTCCCATGCTCTGAGTCCTGCGGTGCTGGATCTGGCTATACAGGCGGATGGCCTGTGCGGATCCCGTGGTACCCACTGACCTTTCTTTATCTCCGGACACATCAGTCATTAATTTGCTCCGAAGCTGCCATCCCTCCCCAGACCTCAGGGCTTGCCCGTCGAGTCTCAGGCTAGCAGCTCTCTCCTCTGAAATCACACCAGCTTTTATTCTGGTCTGTCTCTGAGATAACAAGACACAAAAATCTGTCCTAGCGTTTTTGCAAAGAACAGCAAAACCCTCGTGCGTCCCCTTCTGTCCCTGCCTCCCGTTGCCCTGTCCCCCTTCTCTTTGGGTCTGTTTGAGGCAAAAGTTATCTCCAGGAGGGGCCATCAATTTGCTCTGCTCTTTTTGACAAGTTTATTAAAAACCCGGGCAACTCTGTATTAAACTTTTATCAGTGTTGAGAAATAGTGCATTTTTTTTTTGAATAGACAGAAAAGTTATGGAGCTGGGTTGAGTGGGTCTTGGTTGGCATCCGGCTGGGTCAGTGCTGGCGATAATGAGAAACAGGGCTGTTTTGGGGGTGTGGTTCCCTTTTGCATCTGAATCATGGGTCTCCCTTGAGACTCCCCTGCACAGTCACAGCAGCCTGAACAGAACCCTGGGAAGGCTCCTTTGGCCAGGCCACTCGAACTCCCATGACCATCATTCTTTACTATTGATTTTAATAATTAACCAAAATTTGGAATTAAAAGTTAATTTAGTGGTGAATCCTAGTGTTAATAGGTAGTGCTGCCACTGAAGAAATATTAGGTTATTGATGTTTAAATTTTTAAAACTCCATAGTGAAAAACACGGAACGGATCCAGATACAAGTGGGTGGCACCTCCCGGGTCAGGAGGGGAGGGAAGTAGGCAGGGAGGAGCTGCCCACTGCCTGAGGGTGTGAGAATGAAGCTGGAGGGGAGGGGGCTTGTTCTTGGGGTCCCTGTCTCTGTGATGACCCTAGGAGGGCACAACTTCAACCCCATGAAGTGGGCTCTGAGGGCAGCTTCTTTGATCCCAGGTGGGTCTGGGCAGTTGGGCATCCATGAGCAGAATTTGGTGCCACACCTTCACTAAGGACATTGGCCATAGTGTCCACTGTGATGTCCCTGAGGGTGTTTTCTGTCCATAGTGGACACTGTTTGCTGAGGTCCTGGGTCAGAGATTGTGGGGCAGCGTGGATGAAGTGGTGCCTCGCTGCCCTTGAGGGGCAAGTGGCTGGGGCACCCCTGGAGCTATGACAGTGGTGATGAGGCATGAAATGACAGTGACTAGGATCTGGCACCCCCACGTAGGGAAATTGAGGCTCAGAGGGGCCAAGGAAGCCCCGGGAGCTCCAACTTGATGTGTATGCTCCAGAGCCCAAGGTCGCTCTCTGCGCCACCAAAGGTCAGACCTGGGGACTGCTGGGGGTGCTGGGCGCCGGGGTGGAATTCACTTGGTGAGGCTATGCTGAGCCTGCTTTCTCGGTCTGGGGCCTTATCCAGTGCAGGGGGGCTTCCTGGATAAGGTGGTCACCACAGCTCTAGGCCTGAGGTGTTCAGGAGCAGCAGCAGCAGCCCCACAGCCTTCCGGCCCTGGTGTCAGCGTGTCACCGCCCCGCTGGGCAAGGCTGACCATTGTGGCCCCAGAGCCTGCTGCTGGCGAGTCTCAGTGCACACACGGAGTGCTGGCCTTTGTCCACACTGCTGTTTGCTCCAATTAGGACTAATTGGACACAGATCACATTTTTCATAGCATCTAATTTTCTATTGATTTTAACGGGGTTGCTGGTGTTTTCGGCAGCGGTTCCCTGCATCTCATATCAGTTGCTGCTTAAAAATGCTGAGTGTACTTCCCCATGTGGGGTGATTCCATCAGCAGATGTTTTAAAACCTATTTAATTGTTTGGTTCATAAAATGCACAAACTGTATTAGCTGCAGCCTTGTTTCTTCACACGCTGGTAAAAAGAGAGGCAGAGGGCGGGTGCAGCCCCGCTTCTCCGGCAAATGGCAAATTCACCAGAATCCAGGCCATCCCCGTGCCAGGCCATGCCCTGGGCCAGAGGCATTGCTCACGTAAATGCAGAGTCTGTGACCTGACTGCAAGTCACCAAAGGACTTGGCAGCAGCCCCTCCTGCTTCCTTGGGAGGCTTCAGGGCTTAGCCCCATTGTGCTTCCTTCTAACCTTGGGGTCAGAGGCCCTGGAGCAGCAAGGTGGCCTCATGGGGAGGGGGCTGTGGTCTGCCTAAGGTCATTTGGGGGAGGCGAGTGCAGGGCCTGAGAAGAGGAGTGGGGACCTCCGAGATAAAGGGTGGGCTTGTGGGGTATTTGGTCTCTGAGCCATGGACGTGTTTAAGAGCTTGGGGCTTGCAGTCCATTAGTATTTGGACTTTTCTAGATAGAAAAGAAAAAGTATTGCAAGGAAGGTGGGACTCCCAATGGTAGGTGGGACACCAGGATGCAGTGAAGGGGTTCAGGAGTGTCTGCCAAAGTGAGCTGAAACTGCCAGCTGGGCACTTGGCCTGCAGGGGCTCCTCACAGTGGACCCTGCTGTGGGCACCGCCCTGCATGCCCTTCAGGTACACAATCAAGTGTGGTAATCACTTATTCAGCGAAGGCTTGCTGGAACATTCTCTGAACAAAAGCAGGGGGGCGTGAGGGGAGCGAGAGACTAGACGTCCATGGCCCCCAGGAGAATGGCCCTTGGGAAGGAGAGATGGGTAAGCTGTGTCGGGGATCAGGCAATGCCACCCAAGTCCCCATGCCCTGCTCTCTAGGACCCCACTGGGTTGCAGGCGGTGGCGTCCTGGGTGCTCACACCCTGTGGGCTTCTGGGCAGCTCAGGGCAGGCTTGCTTAACCAACCCAGGCACAGGGCCATCAGCCATTGCCCAAGGTCAGGCGAGGTTCTGCAGCCAACACCCTTGCCATGGTGCCCATGGGTGAAATGCTTGCTGCGCTCCTTGGTGAAAGAGAGTCTGCCAGCTCCCTGGAGGAAAGAGCTGGGGTCTGGACCAAGCCCCTGCCCTGGGTGCTGTCTTCTGCTTTGGCTTCCAAATGGCCTTGAGCAGGGAGCCGGCCAGGCTGGAGGAGGACTGAAATGTGCAAGGGGCGTGTCAGGAATAGAGCGTTTGATGCAGAAGCAAAGGCCTGTCATTTGGGGAAATTCCTCCAGCCGCAGGGATGCATGGAGAGAGTTGAGGAGAAGAGGTGGGCTGCAGGGAGGTGCCAGAGCAGGTCACAGCTTGGGGGGTCACCCAGCTGGTGCTGAGACCTGGGTTCTTGCCTGACGATGGACTGGGCATCAGTAATGGGGTACCTGGCTCTTTGTTGGTCCCCTCATGCCAGCCGGGGTGTGGAGCCCACAGGGCAGTTCTGTTGCTTGTTAAATCTCCGGCTTCATTAGGAATATCGACAGGGGTGATAAACATACCAGGTTGCTTTGTCTGCATGGTGTCTTCATCGGGACTGGGGCTACTGTTCTGGGGAGTCTCATATCTGCCCCTATGCCCTATGCTCCTGGAGTTTAACCAAGACAGGGGTTTGCAGAACTGAGTCCTCTCAGCCCCGCTGCCTCCAGGGCTAAGCTCTGATAAAGGCCAACAATCTAGTCACAGGTATGAGTCTAGGAGGGCCTAGCACCCACCCCTGGGCTCCCCCTGAACTTTGGGGAGGTGGTCTTGTGGTGAAAGGCCAGAGCCATCCACAGAAGGGTCCCAGCCAGGCTCAGCTCTCAGGAGGGGGCGCCAAGACAGGGATGGGGGAAGGTAGCAGGCTGCGTGACGGGGGCTGGGGTCTTGGGGGTCCTGGAGTGGCCCTGGAGGGAGAGCATGGTGCCCTGTGGCCCATCCCCACTGCCCGAGCATCCGTGGCCATGGCTTGAGGAGACAGGGGCAGAAAGGGTCCCAGAGAAGAGCAGCGGGTGGAGCGGGGGCAGTAGACATGTGTGGTCACATCTCCCGGACAAGCTGGTCTGTGCCCAGAGGGAGGGCCACACACAGGACACTGCGTCCCCTGCACCCCCACCCTGCCATCGCCCCGATGGATTAAGTGCTGGCAGAAAAACTAATTTTCTAAAAAGGAATCTGCTCCCTCTGAATCACCGAGGGTGATCAGGCAAATTCGGCCGGGGCTGGCCGTGCTGGATTCACGCTTACCGGGGGGCCCACCCTCACACACCTGACAGGCTGCCGGTCCCCAGGTTGGGAGCCTGGGCCTCGGGGAAGGTCCTCATGTGGGTCTCTGTCTTGCTTCTCCCCCTACAGGCACACAGGCCTGGCTTCCCTGGAAATCTCGGGCCCTGGCCACCTACAGCCGGGTCAACTGGGCTCATGTTCAGCTGGGGCCCAAGGTGGGATCTGGGGCCTGTCCTGCCTTGGCTGCAGCTAAAGATGTGATGGGGGCCAATTCCCCTTCTGGCAGGCCCCCAGGATGTACACCCATGAGGGCAGGTCCTGATGGTGGTTCCTGGGCCCCAGGGCCGAGGTAGTAGTGGCGCCAGGGGCCTTGGACAAAAGGCAGGATGGCTGAAGAATCAGTGAGGGACAGTGGTGGGAGGAATGGGAGGCAAACGCTGAAGGGGTGGGCATCAGCTGCAGGAATATGACCTTCTGGCCCCCTTCACCCCTCATCTCCACCCCTGCCTCCTCCAATCGACCCAGTGGGTGGCCGAGCACCATGTATGCGGGTGTGTGTGTCCTTGAGTTTGTGAACTTATGTGTGTTTCTGAGTGTGAATGGTGTGTAAAGATGAGTTTGTGAGTGTGTGTGTGTATTTGTCTATATCTGGGCAAGTCTGTGTGAGTGTGTGTGTTTTGGGGGTGTGTGTCTGTGTCTCTGTATCTATGTATCTGTGCGCATGTGTCTGGCGTGTGCGTGTGTGTCTGGTCGTGTGACTGACCCTCAGACTCCCACCCTTGCTCCCCCATGCCTCTCCACCCAAGCCCAGCAGAACTTGGGGGCCCCTCGGCCCAGGTGGTCTCAGGGAAGGGTGGGGGCGCGGAGTCTGGACACCCTGTGGCCCCATCTCATCCAGACGTCACCAGGAAGCTGCCTTCATCGTCAACACCGCTGTTTCCCGCGGACCCGGGACCGAATGCTTTGCTAAAGCTGGTAAAATGGAACCAAATCAACTGTTCGATGGATTTGGTCCCCTTCAACCAGCTGTAGCTGCGCATTGATGGCGCCTCGGCCCGGCGGGAGGACACACGGCCACATGGAGGCCACTCAGGCCAGCTCTGCCAGGGGACCCAGACGGCCCTCCTCGAGGTGGGTTCCTCGGAGACACCCTCCCCTTGCAAGCAACGAGGCAGCAGAACTTGGCTGCCCCGCCCCCACTGCCCTCTCCAGTTTACCATGAAAATAAATGTCTGCTTTCACACCGTAGCATCACTGAGAGTGTGTGTCCAGGAGCCGGTGCCACGTGGGGTCTGGCCCCACGTCATGCCCTCTCGGCCTTGCTCTGCCTTCCCCTTCAGAGCTACCTCGGTCCAGGAGGCCATCGAGGGCTGCATACTGGTTTCCTTGGGGGTGCTGAGGGTGGTGATTGGGGGCAGGCCCACTGAATCCCTGCCCCCACATATCCTGGGCCACCCTGGGTTCTGGGATAGCTGGCTGCTGGATCAGTCGGCTCCTGACAGAGCCCATCCCAGAAACCACCCCTGCACTGAGGAGCCCCACTCCTGCCTTCTACCTGCTGAAGCAGCTCTCAGTTTGGTGTGGAGTCCTGCACCCGCTGAGGACTCGGGCGCCCACCCCTCGACCTCAGGAAGGGAAAACTCTGGGCTTGGAGCCTGCCAACCCCGCCCCCCGCCACAAGCTGGCTGTTGCCCCAGAAGCTGATCTATTAGCTTTCAATGGATTGGATCCACTTCATGTCTATCTCCCGTGGGGGTTAGAGCTGCCAGAGCCCAGGAAAGGAGCACCCGCCCTCGGGAGGGGGGCTTCTCTGCAGATGCTGAGCCCAGACCAGGGGCCAGTTTGCTGGCTGGGCTCCCATTCCATGTGCCTGGCCAGGATGGTCCTCCAGGTGAGGGCGGAGGTGCCTCCGGGGCCCTGCCCAGGAGTTGGGGATGTGCGGGCCCAGCACCGCACCTTCCAGGTTCTGGGAGAACCTGTGATCCAGGAGCTTTGGAGGCTCTTGAAGAAGAAAGTGACACATTGGAGCCTGGACACATCTTCACCGCTGCCCCCTACAAAGGCTTAGCTGGGATGAGTGGACTTCTCTTTCATCCTGAATCTCCAGTTCATAGAGGGGACACTGCTCCCCCAACTCCTGACTCTGTTTCTCCCACGTGGTGACCCTCGGCTCCAGCGGATGGACCTCTGTGTTGGGTAGAGGTTTGGGTCTCAGTAGCTGAGGGCCTATAGTTTTTGGACGGAAGCTTGGTCCTCACTTTTGTTCTGGACATTTCTTTCTTACCAGGTAGCCCTGAAATGCCCCTCACATTATAGTAAAGAAAAGGAAATTCTTGTTTGAAAGAGATTCATCTTTCTCTCTTTCCTTGACGACATGGATGCTCCCCAGTAACCAGCCCCAGATGGTGGAGGATGAGAGGGGATGATGGTGGGAAAGGTAGCCGGCCCTTCCTATGAGGACGGGTGGGGTCGGGGTGCTTTGCTGAGGGTCCACAGGCTGGAAAGCCCCTTCCTGTCTTTTAAACAGCCTCTGCAGAAGGAGCCTGCTTCCAGGTTTGCCTGTCAGAAGTGGGGGCTCAGCCTGCTTTGTCATCTCCCTCTGCCTGCCAGTTTTGGGGAAGCCCTCTCACTTTCAAATAAACACGACAGTCGGGCCAAGTGTCAGCAGAGTCCCTGTGTGCGACTTCCTGTCACGTCTCTGGTCTGGTCACACCCAAGGGAGAAAGGAGGGGGGCAGAGAGGGTGGGAGGAAGAGAGAACCAACAGACACCCTGGCAGCTACTCGTGAGCCAGGCCTGGGTCCCTTGACTGCTTGGGGGTGGTAGGAGGCCCCCCACCAGAATTGCCCAGGCTCTCCCGAGAAAAGCCAGGGAGGTGTTAGCACCATGGGAGAAGGACATGGGCAGACAGAGCCAGGCTCCCTGCACCTGGAGCTACCCTCACTGCGCTGGGGGCTGTGCATGCGGGAGGGCTGGCCGATGGCCGGTTATCACTTCCACAGCTCAGCCGTCCAGGCGCAGAGGTGGGGGGCTCAGCCTTCTATGTATAGTAGTGGGGAGCTGTCAAGTTCTTTTCTGGGCTTTGACTTTATTTCTAAAAATAAGTAAAAGTAGAAATGTTACAATGCAGACATCAACAACAAGAAGCACATGCTTTGTAGGCTTAATATAACTGAAACCCGGATGGATACCATTCGGGCCGTTGAAGGGCTGGTTTCAGTAGATGTTTAGTGTTTTCCAGGACTGTTGTGTCCACAGTGAGAGACTCACAAGAGGACATAGACTGGTCCCCAGGGCTTGTGCCTCCCACGAGGACGGTCAAGCATCAGGAGACACAGGGCCCTTTCCAGGAGGTAGGTGGGAGTGTGGGGTCCTGATAGGCACCCACGGTGGGAGAGGGGTTCCCGGCTTGTGGGTGAAGTCCATCAGTAGGTTCACTGGGAGATGGCCAGGTTGTGTGCGCCCAGTCAAGATCAGAGTGAAAAGCAAATGACACCCAACAGACCCCAGGCAAAGCTGAACCATAGTTCTCAGCTCTCCTGCCAGAAATGGCTTTCTCGGGGGAGCAGGGCTAAACCCTATGGAAGCCTCTTTTTGGCATCTTCTAGCACCAACCAAGGACTACACATGTAGTCCCAGCTTTAAATGTAAGCCCAATATCGCTCCAGAGACGCCGATGACGATGTGTATGAATCTGCTCATCCCTCGCTTTGGCTAAGTGCCCCAGTCCTGCATAAAAATATCAGATCAATAGCCACATATTCACTCTTCCCAAATGAACCAAATGCAGCTTCCATGACCTGCTTCTCCCTGTGTGGGCCTTCTGCTTCTCCTGACCTGCCCTCCTGTGGGTGTTGGGGGCTGGCTCAGGTGAGGTCAGCTGCAGGAACTCCCTGGAACAGCCCCTGCCCAACCCCTCTGGTGTCTCTCCAGAGGGCCCCAGGGGCTGGGCTGAAGAGGAGGTGCTTTGTGTCCCCCAGAACTTGGAAAATCCTGGAGAGCAGCTTTGGGGGCTCTGAACTTTCTACAGTCCTCTGGGGTTGTCCCTGTCTTTGAAGGTTTTATAGTGGTTCCATTTCCAAGGTAACTCTTTCCACCTGGTGTATCCCCTTCTGGCCCCCTTCCTCCTGAGCTTGGCAGAGGGGCATTGGGGGTAGGCAGGAGACCATGTTCTTCCAGCTGGTTTGCTCATCAGGGGAAGAGGAGCAAGGCTGGGGGTCACAGCTCTGCTTGAAGACCCACTGAGGATGGGGTGGACACTGCAGTTCATCAGGGAGGGGAGAGGGGCTCTGGCCAGCACAGAGGGGAAGGGGGCCTGGTGGGACACCAGGTCTGGCCCAGACTCTCCTGTGCCCCCATATTCCCAGATACACCAGAGACACAAAGGTGAGCTGAAGTCGTTGGCAGAGGGGGCAGGACTGGTGGGTGACTGGCTTCTGCTGAGAAAAACCAGGGCCAGGAAAATTTGACCATTGTCTTGAAATGGAAGGCCATTGGGTCCCTGCTCAGGTTTGTCAGAGATGCTTCTCTGTTAGTGGGTCTGCTCGGGCAGCGGAGCTCAGCATTGCCTCAGAGAGTTAATTCCTGGAGCCAAGAATGAGGGAAGTTGCTGCAAAAAGCAGGTTTCCCCCATCCTCCTTACTCCATCATGACTCAGACAGATCGGAGTCCTAGAGTCAGTGTGAGCTTGTATGGGTGGGGCTGCCACCCCCTGCCCACCTTGCCCACTCTGGAAGCTGCAAGTAGGACCCCTTGCAGCCGTGGTCCATGTGGCCACTGTCTCCTCAGAGAAGAGAAGCTGGGAGGGAAGCCGGGGGTCAGCAGAGCAGGGGCAGGGGTCAAGTCCACCCGGAGGCAAGGAGAGGCCTCTTACGTGAACCTAAAGGCAGAGTTGGCCCCTTCACTGGAGGACAGCCCTATGAGCCCACTGGCCATTCTCAGGGAAGGCCATGTGCTGCTCTGAAGCTGCCAGGCCCATGTGCAGAGGCCTCTGAAAAGTCCTGTTCTGGGACCTTATGGGAGATCTGCAAGCCTGCTCTCATCTAAGCCGGAGCTGCCCTGCATTCCTCTTCATGGTAAGGGCAAGGAATCAAAGATGCCATGCCTGGGATTCACAGCCCACCAGGGGAACACTACCATCTACACTCCTGCCCTGATGTGTGGTGTTTAGGGGCAGAGAGAGCTGGGGAGCCCATGGGATGCAGGACATACTCCCAGGAATATCCAGAGTCTCTCACTCCGGGAGGGTGCCCTAGTCTCCTTGTGAGCCTCCCTCCTGTTTTCCTTCTATGTCAGCAGAGTCCCCCCACCAAGACCCTCCCCCAACCCTCATCCATCCCCATGGTCCCTCCCCCATCCACAGCACTGAACTTCTGGCCACTCTCAAAAAAAGACATGTCAGCTCTGGATTTGGCACAATTTCCAGTCATTTCTGTTGTAATAATAACACAACAATAAAAATAGCACCTGCACATCATGTGCATTGTCACCCCCAAACAGAAGGTCCTCCCAACTGACCAGAAGTTCCCTGCTTGGGAAGACACTACTGGGGGACTGAACAGGGCACAGAGGAAGGCTGGGGGACAGGAAGTTCCAGGACTCGCCAGTGGTTCGTGGAGGGACCTTGGGTAGTAATTCGCCTTCTTCACGTGAGGAAAACCTGCCCAGGCAGGCCAGTGGGTCAGGCAGGGGGATTTGGGCATAGTGCTTCCTTAAACAGTAGAAAAACCAGTGGAGAGCATTTTCAGGACTTGCCTGTGGACAGCTCCCTGCCAAGCTCACTGCCTGCCCCCAGGCGAGCCCTAGGCTGGTCGGCAGGGGACGTGTGGGGATGCCCATGGGCGCACGCTGGGGAGCCGGGCTTGCAGGAGCCCAGCCCCACCCTGAGCCCTCCCCTCTGTGTGTCTCTGAGCCCGAGGTACTGATGCCAGAGGAGGAACCCTTGAGCTGGAAGATGAGAGCCATTAATCTGAGTCTCAGCAACTTAATTAAAATGCTTGCTCACTAATGCTTCCAGGCGCAACTTGGAATGAGGGTGTTAACACAGAGACTCACTATATTTGGGGACTCCCTGGCCTGAAAACAGGCCTGCCAAGCTTCTACTATACCCTCCACAGACCTAGTGCCGACACATGAATTATTCATGCGGCACTGTATTAATTGTATTGATTCATCAATAATTAATAATGACATGCTAATAACCACTTCTGTGGCTAGTCTGTGCTGCTTACTCACGCCCTTCCCATGATGTCTGCCCTGGGATGAGGAGCATACAGCTCCGGGGGACTGGAGCCCAGCCAAAGGGCAGCGGAGAGCAGTGGGCACATTGCCTGACTATACCCCACCTGGCCAGAGGGCAGTGCAGAAAAAGTGGCACCAAATGGCATGGTGACACAGGTCCCTCTCCAGGTGTGCCCAGGAGGGAGGCCAAGGGCATAGCCAGGTGTGTCCCTCAGCTGACCAGTTGCTTGTGTGTGTGTGCTAAGTCGCCTCAGTCATGTCTGACTCTTGTGACCACATGGACTATAGCCCGCCAGGCTCCTCTGTCCATGGGATTCTCCATGCAGGAATACTGGAGTGGGTTGCCATGCCCTCCTCCAGGGGATCTTCCCTGCCCAGGGATGGAACCTGCATCTCTTAGGTCTCCTGCACTGGCAGGTGGGGGTCTTTACCAGTTGCTCAGGTGTTCCCAACTGTCGGCTGGAGCTCTGTGCTGCCAGGGTGGGCCCATGGGGGTCGAGCGTGTGGGCTCCTTGAGCAAGGGACCTCCTGCTGGGGGAGGCTTATTTTAAAAATAAAATGAAAACAAGCCAGTGCTCTGCCCCTTGTCCCTTTTGCAGGGCCGGGAGGGAATGATGTTTGGCGGCTGATGTTTGGAGAACCCCATGGAGGCTGGTGCCAGGAGCCCTCCTGCCTCTGGGTTCCTAGTCCCTCTTCATGGGGGCACTTTCACCCAGATCACCATTACTAGCCCCATTTTAAAGATTGGAAAGGACACTCTGGCAAGTTAAGGGCCTCACCCAAGGTCACAGTCCATGGAATTCCTGAACTGGGCTTCAGATACAGGGAGAAGTTTCCAGAACTACAGAGTGGAGGGCCACTTGGTGCCCCTCCTCTCACCCGAGAGTTGGAGAGGTGGCCCCCGGAGCCTTGTCAACAGCCCTCCCCCGCACAGTCCTGCAGCCCTTCCCCTTCTTCTCTCTGATGCTTTTTTCTCTCTTTCTCTCCCCCATGGTTCCAGGGTGATTATCTGGAGGGCCCCCGAGCATAGCAAGCCTGTCCCTTATGGGGGCCTGACACACTGGGGTCTCCCAGACACACTGGGACCCTCGGCTGCTCCACACCTACCCACATGGGCTCTTGTCCTCGGCTTTTTGCGGTCTGGCTCCTTGGGGCTCATGACTCGGAGCGGAGCTGTCACAGTGAACAAAGGCCGTGGATCTTGCTTCTGTGCCCTTTTGGCAACTTATGCCAGAATAGGCCTCTCCTGAGCAGAGCAGACCCTCGGCATCACGGGGAGATCCCAGCGGGACCCACTTCCCAGTGCTCCCTGGGGGAGGGGCAGGTCATCAAGGATGGGGGATGATGGGAGGACGTAGGATGGGGCTCCTAGTGAACCGCGAGTTCTCCTTGGAGGCTAGCTCTCATCCCTGCCAGGAAGTGGGG